TGCGTTTTTAAGATTTAAAAACCATTTCATGCATCACATTTTGTAGTATGTGAAACCTGGTAAATGACAAACACAGTTATAAAATACCTAACAATGATTTAATAACATGTTTGTTTCTACTTGTATTCCTCCCCCCCCCTTAAAGCATTTAAAATCATTTAAAACATTGATTAGGGGTATGAACTCACATGTAGTTGGTGATTGGGATGAAATGAACGGTATCGGATTGCTAGGTGTCAAACGAGAACTTGTGAACACACTACCATCCTAATGAACATATAATCACACATATATGCACTCAATTAGACATAATTGACTAATTGATAATGTTTAAGACATCCTAGGCATATAAACACTTTATATAAGTATTTTAAGCCATAAGGATTGCATCTAAGCCATTGTGGGACAGGGTACTTGTGTTTTAGGGTTACCAAAGGACCCCATATGAAAGTTTACTCTCTATAAACCATCACACATGGAGTTTACGGTTGTAAACTCTTGAGTTTACGGTCGTAAACTCCCAAACATGTGTGTTTGGTGTGTTTTGAAGTCCCAAATGCTTTCTAGAATTATTCTAACTTAGTGGCTAAGTCCTTGGAAGGGTTTAAGGTCTAGAAGTACTCCAATTAGGAGTTTACGGCCTCAAGGCTATTACCTTAGAGTTTACGGCCGTAAACTCTAAGTATGGTGGGTTTTAGTTTCTTTAAAGCCTCTTGCACTTGTGGGATATATTCTAGACAATTGTTTAATGCAAATGAGAACCCTAGGCACACTTTGGTGCCATCCTTTTGAGTTTACGGCCCAAGAACATTCTCTTTGCCGTAAACTCACTTTGATGAGTGATTTTTTTACATATTTAGGTTCTTCATTTTTGTAGGAAACAATTCCATGAAGGGTTCTAGGGCTTTAGGTGTCTTGAAACCACACTTTTGTCCATTCTTATGGAGTTTACGGCCTAAGCTTCTCTTGGGCCGTAAACTCACTTTGATTTGTGTCATTTAATGTGTTTAAGACCTTATTCTACTTGGGAATTAGCCTAGATAAAAGCCTTTAAGTCTTATAGTCCTTAAATCACCATTTTGAGCTTGAAATGGGAGTTTACGGCCTAAGAAATTCTTGGGCCGTGAACTCCCCAAACTTGGGTGATTTGTGGTTGTTTTCTTGTCCCTAACATGTATACATAAGCATCTAAGGCCTTATTATAACACAAGTATCGGTTTAGGCTTCGTTTCGGGAGTTTACCGCTCAAGAACACCTCGAGGTGTAAACTCCTAGATTTCATGTTTTAGCCTTCTAAAACATGTTATAGACACGTATAAAGCTCTCTAACAATACTTTAAAGAGTTACTCATGTTTTGGTATAAAAACCCGAAGATCCGTCAGAGAGAAAATGGCTTTTCTCTAGTCGGAAATGTGAATAATGAATGATTTTGGTTTAGAAATCTCTTTATAGTTCTGAGATATTTTGGCAGAAAATATTTTTATTCCTGAAATGATCCCTAATAAAATAGAGTGTTGGAATAATAGTGTTGCACCAAACCCAAGTGCACCCACTCTCCTGATATTTTCTGAAGTGTAAACCCTGAATTTCTCAAACTTACGCGAAGAGTCTGAAAATTAACTGTGACTGCTACACCTTCTATTGAAGTGATATAGTTGGTACAGAATGGAAATTTCGGGTTGTCACATGTATGATTTTTATGCTTTGGGCCGGAAGGCGATATGTTTTGGGTCGGAAGGCAATATGTTTTGGACCGGAAGGTCGTAGCCTGGAAGGGCGTATATGTGGTTGGTATTTTGGGGGTATCTCACTAAGCTTTCGGGCTTACAGTTGTGGTTTAATGTTTTTCAGGTTCTTCAGGAGACTGTGGCAAGGCAAAGGCGTGATCGTACCGTTCCTCGCGTTTATGTTTTATGAAATGGATCTGGGAATACTCTGATAAATAATGTATTGAAAACCTTTTTATTATAATTTTATTAAAATGGATTGTTTTGAAAAGTTTAAATTATGTTGAAATTTTTAGTCGTCACAGTTAATTTATTGAATTAAAAATAACTTATGAAAATATTATATAAAAACAAATTTTACATGACAGATTGAACCTGATGTAGTGTCAAATTCAGATTTCAAGAAATGCATAAATCAACTAGTTTGGAATATGAATATTGAACCATCAGAATTTGAGAACAAATGAGATTTGATGTTGAATGAATTTCATTTGAAGGATAATAAATGGTCAGATGATATGTTCAACAAGAGAGACAAATGGATTCCTTCCTATTTTAGAGATATACCTATGTGTGGACTTATGAAGACTACATCTCGATCTGAAAGTTCTAATTCATTTTTCAATATTTTCTCAAGTCCAACCAACTTACTTGTGAAATTTATGTTCAATTTTGACACTGCACTTTCAAAGCAACGTCATGAGCAAAAAAGATTAGATATTGCATCAAGAGATACTTCTCCACAACTGTTATTTCCACATGATAATTTGAAATTTGAAAAGCATTCGTCATTGGTATACACATGAGAAGCATACCTTAAAGTGCAAAAACAAATAAAAAAAGGCATTCTATTAGTGTTTTCAAAAAAAAATCTATTTTTATTGATGGCCATCAACAATGCACAATTGTCTACAAAGAAATCAAGTCAGGCAAACGACCAGAATTTAAGGTAAGGAAATATGCTACTTAATGCTTATTTTAATTTAACATTATTTTGACTTTATAATAATATTTGTGTAATTACATATTATTATTATCTTTCAGGTTTCTTTTGATGCAAAAGATAAAAGCAATTGAATGTGAATGTTTGCATTTCAGATTTTTTGGAATCCGTTGTGGTCATGCTTTTAGAGTTCTTATAGATTATGACATTGCCATGATACCTGATAAATACATTCTGGATAGATGGAGAAAGAACATAGTGGATATTGGTTTTCAAAAGATAAACCAAAAACGGAGAGTGTGTAGTACAGAAATTTCAAATCTCTTGCAGGATGCTACTTCATTTTATGAGAAATGCATTGAATCGGTTATTCATGACAAAGAAAAATTACAAGAATTAGTGAACTATCTTCAACAATTAAGTGAAACTTGTGGAAATGATGTTACTTCTAGATCAAGTTCAAATCCAATAAAAGATGTTGTTGAAAATATCATTGGAGTTCCAATTTCAACTGATGTGAAAATCAAAGTACCAAGTGGGATAAAAACAAAAGGTAGTGGAAAGAGGAATCGAATCAAAAGTGTTGCGGAAAAAGCAATAGCAAAATCACTTAAACCAAAATGCACATGCAAAGGATGCAAGAAATTAGTCAACCATGATCAAACAAATTGCCCAATAAATCCTTCAAAAGTGCTTAAGCCTTTCAAAAAACAACAGTAACTTAGATTTGAATTTTAGTTTTGTATGTACTTATGCTTCTCTATATTAAAACTCTTAGGATTAAAAGCTTGAAACGTTCCAGAAGTTTATTTTAATATTAATTATGGATAATGTAATAGTTTACTGTTTCACTTTCATATGTAAAAACATATATGAATTTATGATAAAAAAAAAAGTAATACAGAGCACAAATAAAAAGTGCTACAAACGACATTACAATTGTAGATATAATCGAAATATTATTGCTAAAGATTCAAATAAAAATTAACGCAAACTAAAATCAAAACTTATTGTAATAATAACAAAAACATTCTAATCTCATTTATCATAAGCACAATTCATTTTATCATGAAAACCAATCCTTTTGCAGTACTTACAAAATCTTTTTCCTTCAAAATCTTCTGTGTAACTCTTTTTTGCATGTCTTTTGTCAAATGGACAATTTCTAGAATTATGTTGAACCAACCTATTGCAAAAATTACACAACCTCATTTGTTTGTTGTAAATCTTATTTTGATGAAAAATATACATTATGTTGAAATATATATTATTAGTTATAACTTTTATATATATATATATATATATATATATATATATATATATATATATATAATATATATATATATGCCACAAATCTTTCGAAATATATGTTAAGACTAGTTCAAATCAGTAACTAATCATTCACAAGCATTTTACTTAAAAAAATTAAATCTAATTCGATTGAAATAATGCGATATATATTTATTAGTTTTAAAACTTAAAACATTACATTTTTTCCTTAATATTGCATAATTACTTTTTGAAAAAAATTAAATTATTATTTTAAAAAAATTTGAATTCTTTAATATTAGATAATTCTTTAATAATGAATAATTACTATTCCAATAAAATTATTTTTTATGAAAAATGAAAAAATAAAATTTTTTACACATATATATGGTGCAAATCACCTAAGAAATATGTTAACAGTAGCTCAATTAATCAACTAACTCTTTCAAAAATTAATCTACTTTCAATTAAATATTTACATTTAAACAATATATTATATGATATTTTATTACATCATAAAATCTTTCATAGATTACTTAAATCTATTTAGAATTAATAATTAAAAAAATATAAATAGTCATAATTTCAGAAGTCAAATCGTTTTAATGACAATAAATACAAATAATCTTTTCACATAAAAATCTATTCAAATAATATTAAATATATATTTTATATTTAAAAAAATGAAAAAAAAAAATAAAAAATTAATATGTACTTCAAATATAATGTAAAAACAGTAAGTAATAACGAGAATATCATCTTCTCAATACATACAAAAAAAAACACTTGTTTTTTTATATCAACTTAAAAAAAAGTAAAAGATAGTGATTCGTTTTTTTTTTTTTTATTAAAAAAAATCAAATTAAAACAAGATAAACATTATGATCTTCAATGTATAGATACCATGATTACCTAAACCTGCAACCGTCGAAATAGGCACCAATACTTCTTGAAGCAATTGATGATAGAAAATTAATTACCTCCTTTAATAACTACAATTGTTACCGCTATATATTCCTCCTCCACATCATAATAAACTTAAACAAAAATACAATTTCCAATGATGACTTTAGAAACATTGAATTGGGAAGTTCGCAACTCCTCAGCTCATCTTGATCTTTACGACATATATGGTATGTTACTTATTGTTAAAATCTAATAATATTAAAACTTATATAATCTTATTTTGAATCTTCATTCAGGATCAGAAAACAAAAAATACTTCTCAATCATGCTAAACCATGGAGGTAGTTTCTTGTACTATCCAAATCGAGATTACTTTGGAGGAGTCATTGACCATGTCGACTTCATCAACGTTGAAACTTTCTATGCGGAGGTATTTCATAACATCTTAACTTCTTTTGGTTATGATGTCGACAGAACATTTGCATATTCTTTAGTCTCTTTTGCTCCATTAGACGTTGGCCTAAACAAGCTTGAAAGTTGGAAGGATTTCTTGAACTTTGTCAAAAAAGTTAAAACAGATGTATTTTTTTGTGTTCAACAAATTTATCTGGAGCATAATCAAACCACTGTTACAACCTTCTACCCACAAACATTAAACTTTGCAACCAACAGTTATCTGTGCACGATACTGTATTCAATGGTTGCATCAAATTCAAAAATTACTGTTTGGGAAGCTAGGATAATACTTTTTGGCAAATTAAGCTTTTGGATAAATGTTGACAAACTCATTAAAGCTTTGGAGTACATAAAGTTTCAAGTGAATCTTCTGGGAAAGTAGATGAAGCTGCAAGGTGAAAATGTGGGTTTTTGGGTATTTGGGTTTTTGGATTTTAGTAAGTGGTTTTATTATGAATATTTGAAAGTTTATTTTGTTGATGTGTGAATTTATATAATATGTTGATGTGATCTAACTTTTGGGATGACTGTAATATATTTATAAATATTATCGATGATGGTTATTAATATGTTAATACTATATATGATTGTGAATATAATTTAATTTTAGATGTGATGGTTGTTAATATATTAATATTATATATGATTGTGAATATGTTAATTTTAGATATGTTTATAGATAAACAAGGAAAATCTAATTCAAAAAAACATTGTCATACTTTTTCTTGATTATTCCAAACTTATGTTTGCAGAAGTACATTAAATTCAAACGTAAAATAAACAAACAAAAACCTAAATACATATAAAATACCTCAAACAAATTGTTCTACTTACTCATTCATAACCATTACTATGAAGACTTCTACATAAAACTAACCACTTGCTGGTTACTTCAACAAACATATATCATGGACCAAATGCAACTAACCGAGCTCCTATATTGATAATACCTTCATGATACATTACACGCCTATTATTTTCAGAAAGCTTTGATAATCAACAAGAAGTTTCTCAACTTCATGTTTCATTAGATTCACTTCACTCAATAGAATTTTCATAGAATATCTTCTTTGAAGATTTCTAAGTTGCAAAATCTACTCAGCACTTTCCATTTTTAACCCACATGTCCATTGAGCTAAAGGACATCCCTTATAAGTTTCCATGACGCATCAAAAAAAAATCCCACAATCATTACTGTGACCTCTTGTTTTCCACATCATATACTGATCCACAAATTCCATTTCATACATAATTGAAAATGCCATAAATGTTTTATCTCTTGAAGATATCTACCAAACATATATTTCTGCATTAAAAAAAATCAATATACATTATAAAAAAAATATACTTTATGAATATAAATAAACATTTAAAATAAAAACAAAAACAAACAAACTTACCAAATTTTTAGTTAGATGTGGGTATGGATTTTCAGAAGATCTATATAACATGTTGTCCAATATAACAGCTTTGCGGTTTATAAAATAAAAAACAAACACAAAATAGTGATTGTTTGCACATGCAGGAAAGAACACCTAAATAAAAATAATCAAATACACAATTAGATATAAACAAAAAAGGAATAAAAATTACAAAGTAAATCCAAACATACCAAATCAATTCCTTTTAAATTTCTTCGGTCTTTAGACTCTCCCAAACAATGAATAACATTTTCTTTAAAATTCTGGTACACATCATCATATTTACATGCTTCACTATACATGTATGCAGGATCCTAAATACAAACCATCAATATAATTAACATCATAATAATATAAAAACAATAATTAACAATTACTATACGTACCAATACTGTTGTCTTGAAGAAGAAACATGAAGGAGTGTCCAAATTCCTTGCTCTCTTATCATAGGTCAACACTTCAACAAAACAATCAATAGTCCCAGAAAAAGAAATTCTCCCGGATATAAGCTCTCAAACATGTATCTTTCCCCACGTTAACCATTAATGCTACGAAAAAAGATTATCCCCATTAAAATAAAAATAAAATACATTAATTTTAATATCCCTAATATATATATATATATATATATATATATATATATATATATATATATACACACACACACACACACAAACACATTACGTTGAATTTCCACATAAGTTGAATAGCTAATTATACTTGATATTCTCCTCCTTCGTCAAATTACTATCAATCTCAACAACTCGTACAACAAATGGAGACCTAAGCACTAGAGGTAACGTTTGACTTCTCTTTGGTCTCGATGAAATCATATCATTCTCAAGTATTTTAACTTTTTCACTTTTATCATGAGACTTAATTACATTTCCTTTGACTGAAGCAGAACTTATTTCAACAGAAACAGAATTCTTACTAACATAACTTTCAACACCTGTATTCACTTTTAGAGGAGTATAGATGTCATCCTCAATTCCTAAATTAAAAGAAGGAATATCCTCAAATACACACTTTTTCTTATGAACACGCAACTTAGTTTCAATACAACCAGATTTGCCAAACTCATTAGCCACTCCAGATTTATTAAATCCAATGTTGTTCTTAATAGACTGCCCAAAATCTCGAAATTCGGAAAACTTATCATCACAACTACTGCTTTTGTTACATGACTCAAAAGTATATTCGCATTTTCAGTATTCCCGTTTCGAGCAGCCTCATAAGTCGACAAGGCCGTAGCAATCCCTTGTGCAAGCATGTTTTGCATCATAGTAGGTTCCATCTGGAAATTTTGGTGGTTATTTGTAGCACTTAGGGATTCTTCCGGATCTGGAGTTTCTTCTGTTGGTTCTTTTCATCGAGGCATTATCCTAATACATTAGATAAGTAAGTTAAGTTGTTTTTTAAACCATATAGTTATAATATGTGTGTGTTTTGTATTTGTTCAATTTGTTTTTCTTCCGAAATCATACAGATTTTAAACCAGAAAATGAAAGCTTTACCTGATATAGAGCTTTGCAAGCAGCACATAATAAATACAAACATTTAACAAAATACTGAAACATTGTCATAAGAACTGCTTGTTTTGGTTACAAAGTTTTAACCATATAAGGTTAGAAATAGAAAAGCTTTTCAAAAGATCTATTACAAACCAGGCAGCGATAAACACTTTCAACGCAAAAGCTATTCCTCAAAATTCCTAACCTTATCCTACGACACAAGCTGTCCTAGATATCTACCTCCCAAATTGAGTCATCACATAGAGGACAAAGTCCACGAATAGGTCCAAAATGTAGCGTCCTTCATGCGCAAAGATAACCAGCTGATTTCGCTGCGCAGCAAGCTCGCTCTCCATGATCTGAATCTGGTAGTTCTGTGCTCTAACCTAAGCACTCAAGGCATTCACTGCATCGTGATCAGCACCCTAGAGATGATATAATATCTGGATCACATCAGAATTCTCCTTCTCCTCTTCCTTGAGTATCTCAACTTGATGGTCAAGGGAAGTAGAGCGTGGACCTCTCATAAACTGCTCCAAGGATCTGATCTTATCCTTGGTCTGATCAGTTCGAGTCATCAAGCGAGGTATCGAATCATCCTCAGGATTAAACCTGAGAGGTGCTCATGAAGATTCACCAACCTTAAACCGTGGTGGTAGATCAATAGCATCCCTCCTGCTAAGGAGGTTTGTGAGCCAAGATGGCTCACTAGGTCGAGTCCGTTTCCCTAATAGACCACTAGTGGGTCGGGAAACCCGAACAACTGCGTCCAAGTGGTAAATAGGAGATATAGTAGTTCCTAGGGTCCTCATCATACAAGGGCCCTTGCCACGCAGAAGGTACGACTGGTAGTAGGGTCTCAGTGGTGAGACTGGTGGGGGTAAGGGGAGTAGGTTCCTCTTCGGAGAGGTCTCCCTCATCCTCTGCAGGATCATCATCATCAGTCTCTTAGGCATACTGCAATATGCCCTCATCCTCGAGCTCCTCCTCATCGGGATCTTCTTCAGTATCCTCTTCGGGATCCTCCTCCTCAAGAGCGTCTTGGGGAAAGTATGGATCCCAACTAAGTGTAGTGGATGTGGATGGAAAGGAACTCCAAATGGCTCATCAGGATCCTCAAGTCGAAACCAGTCAACGGGGTTTTCCGGTAGTCCATCCATCTACATAAAAGGGTTTCAAGCGGGTTAGTAAATTTGTATAAGTTTTTCATAAGTGTTTTAAGGTTGTTAAAAGGATTCTAAGGTACTAAGCTTCAGCAACGAATCTTGTGGACATTCTTCAACTTCTAAAACTCTCAACCATTGTAACCTGTCAAACTCCTTGCTCAAGGTTGGTTGTGTTGGATTAGTGTCTAAGTCCATAACTATTTTGGTATGTACTTGATCCGATGGTGCATGGTCCTTTTGGGTTGCCTTCACCAAAGCAACTTGATAGGATAAATTATGGAGAGAAAGCATTAAATATGATTTATTAATATATTACGAGAATAATATATTAAAGGAGAAATCATATTGTTTAATTAATATTAGTCAATAATTAATTGGTAATTAGTTTTGTGACTAAAAGAGATTAATTAAACTTAAGGGACTGGAATTGTAATTATACAATAATTGCAATTTGGGCTATGGATTGTCTTAAATTACGGAGTGGACGAATTCTATGGGGAAACCCATAAGGAAATCGTCCAAGGCCTTAATTAAAGGAGTCTATGGGTTGCTTAGGGCTTAAGCATCCAAATTAGGGTTTCCTTGTTAGATAACCCTAATAGCCTCACTATATAAAGACCCCTTATGACCCAAAAACGTGGGAAACTTCTCTTCTAGGGTTAGAACACGTTTTGGGCAGCCTCCATCCTCTCTCGTCTTCATCCTCTTGCTTATGATGTTTGTGAACCATTAGAGGAGTCACATTTGTGACTCTAAGCTTTCTAAAGTCAATATATGGAGGAATTGGGATTGTTATTGCTACATAACAATCAAGGTAATATCTTAAACCTAATTATATGTTAATATCGATTTCCATATGCTAGAATTAGGGTTTATAGTCTTGGATAACTTGCATGTACAATAGAGAAACCTAGATCCAAGCATTAGGGTTTATATGAGCACATAGGATGTTCTTATGACCAAAACCCATCAGTGGTATCAGAGCCTAGATTGATTTCTATTGTATTGATGTCTTGTATGTTGAAAAAATTTGATTTTTGTGGTTCTGCATGATGGACTCGGCGAGTTGCCCCTACTCGGCGAGTCCATGGGGGTACTCGGCGAGTTCGAGCGTCAGATGTAGCTATTTTCGGGATTTCTTGCTGTTTATCTTTGAGATAGTTGCCTTTATCACATTAGATCAATATAAATCCAATTTTATGATATATATGACTATATTCTTCATCTAATTGAAGATATTTATCAATTAATAAAATATTTGTTTCCTTATGTGATAATTGATTAATTATTTTGATTAAATTGGTAAATTATTTTGCAAGAAATCATTTAATAAATCAAATATGGATAATTATGTGATTAAATGTTAATTTAGATTATTTGTTATTTGATCCTTGTTGTTATGAAAAGTTTCATATTTTACCCCTTTAAGTTTTATAGTTTAAATTTGAACCCAAAAGTTTTGTTGTTTTGAAATTTAAATAGTTAAAACCCTCGTGTTTTGAAAAGGTTTAAAAACTTGCCCTCAAGTTTTGGAATTTAAATTTTGATTAAAAGCTTAATTTTGATGTATATTTAAATTCTAAACCCTAATGTTTTTTAAATGTTTCAAAACTTGCCTCAAGTTTTGGAATTTAAAAGTTGATTAAAAGTTTAATTAGGAATGTTAAATTTTAAAACCCTAGTAATGTTTTGAAAAGTTCAATTCACACCCTTATGGTTTTATTAATTAATTAAGGTGTATAATTAAAAGAGGTTTAATAAATCCATAAAAGTTTTGGTTTGCAATTTAATTGAATTAAAAGTATAATTGTTAAATTTGACCACCTAGTATTTTAAAAGTGTAAAATACACCCTATACTATATATATAACATTATAAGTCTAACATTATATATATGTATGAGTAAAAGTCAGTCTTACCGTTAGTAGGCCTCATTCACGAAGCTGGTCTATAAGGGGTGTTTAAGGAAATTGCCTATAAAATGGCGATTGAATGGGTATCCACTGTTACCCACCGCACTCTTGACTAGTGGAGGATCGTTAGCCGAACAGGTAGGATAGGATGAAACCTTCCATTATAAGTATAATGAAATACAAAGTAACTAAATGTTTTTCAAATTACCAAACTTAGTTACTTAGGCAAAAGTGAATTGATGCAATTCCATGAAATTACACTTTGTGCCCTTGCGAAGACATTAGTGGAGCGTGTGTGGTTTACTGGCACACTAAATGGTTCTAAGAAAAGGTAGCAAAGGGTGACTCAATGTTTGTCATAGTTCGGTGGAGCGTGTGTGGTTTACCAGCACATCGAATAGGTGACTGTAAGATGTGAGAGCACCATGTAACTTTGCATGGTTATTCACACTCGCTTTGTGATCCTTGGCATCCCAGTCACAAACAAGAGGGGCATATCGAGATTTAAACATGCCATTGAAATGTTCAATGAATCTCAAAGGATCTAGGAGTTTTCATAGATTTAAAACTTAAATTTCTTTTTGTTTTTCATGGTGGAAAATTAGTGAATCGTCATTCACTTACCTTCAAATATTCTGCAACTAGATTACGGCATCCCTTTTCTAGGTTGTAGCGTATTGTGTTAGGTCCTAGCCTTAGTACCTTATTTGGGTGATTTACTAAGGACTCAATCGATCAACTAACTTAAATTCATTTTCTCCCGTTTTGTAGATGTCAAAGTTCGACAACTATGGTCTTCCTAAATCCCGTGGAACAAGCATTCCACATGAAGATGGTATTCCACGATTCGTTCGAGGAACAAGATATCATGCTTCACTTCCTCCACCTCCTCCAATTGTTCTCTCTAACCCACAAGATCGAAGAACTGAAAGGTTCAACATCACTAAAGCCCTTTTGGAAATGAAACATGAAGATGGTAAACCCGTGTGTGCACACGTTCTAGGAATGAAATCATACATTCATAGGTTGATAATGTTGGGTGTGTCATTCCCGAATGAGTTGGCTGTAAATTGGGTTTTGCAGTCACTTCCTGAATCATATAATGAGTTCAAAAGAAAGTATTATATGATGGATCATGAAGATAACCTCATTGACCTAACTTACATGCTTATTGCTGCTAAATCAGAAATGATTTGGCGAAGCAATGGAGCGTATTTGTTGGGAAAGTCAACCGACCATGCTTCCGAGGACGTCCTAAGAGAAGCGACCTGTGTTTGTTGCCACGAGAAAGGGGGTTGGATAGAAGTCTGCCCCAAGAGCCTGAAGATTCCAAAGAAGGGAGAGTCAAAGAGTATGGTTGTGCTTCAAGTAAAAATCCACTATCTAACACCATTAAGTTCCTATTCGTTGATTCTTAATACATGATGTGATAAGATTGCATTTAAATGTTTTGCCGGATCGGTGAAAAGAAAGGAAGCTTGGTGAAAGAGCAAGATGAATCTAATCACAAGGAATGGATCTTCATCGCATGGACTTGAAGATTAGATTTTGAGCTTAGATAGTTATGATAGAGTTTTTAGAAATTTTCCTTTTGAAATACATTGTTTTCAATGGATTTTGCATTGTAAGGACAAATGTTTTCCGCTGCTTTTATAAATAAAATAAATTTTCGTTTGACTTATTTATTTATTTGTTTATTTCCTTGCAATGAAATCGTTATGAAAATTGGTGTTTGCATATTTCTACAACGAATGGATATGATTCTTATTTATGGAAATGTCGAGAATTTACCAAATAGGGAGAGTTTCTCATCGCCCAAGTTTCAAGTGGACAGAAATTTGGAATCATGTAACTTGGTTGCATGATGAATGAAAAATTTCATATTTGGAAATTAGACTAATTCATTGACAAAGTGTCAAGTGAAGGACTAGGAGATCGAGTACACAAAGTTGTGTGTTGATCAAGTCCACCATAAGAGTAACAGAGATATTCGTCATGATTTACTAAAGGTTTAGTAAATATGATTATACTTATAAGATTAAGTGTAATTCGGAATTGATTAAAAAGGTTTAAATCAATAGCAAAACGAATAAGAAGAATCAAGTAGGCAGAAAGATAAAAGTTTCTCCATTCTAAGAAGAAGGGAGAGTACCTTTTATGCTTTATGATAGGTCTTTATGATTAAGAACCATATCTTAATTGATCCTCTAAGTGAGTCTTTGTACAATTGTATGTCTAAGTAGAGGATTCAAGAATTGAAGAAATGGTTAAATCAAGAAGTCAATCATACTTCGTTCCAAAACAAGTCTTAGAGTTAAGATTGTGACAATGAGTGACAGGTATTAAAAGGTTTATAACGTTCATCAAATGTGGAAAGTTGTGATGTCTTGGATAAGACAAAGACCAACTAGGACCAATTTATGAAGTGTTTTGATAAAAACTACACTAACTCTTGAATATTTGTTTGTCAATAAATGTTTATTGACAAGAGAATCTTATATGTCAAGGAGTCAGTGGGAGTCTTAATGGTCTTGAAAGGTTTTAAGAACAAATCAAAATAAACCTTATCGATCATCACTAGCACAGAAGTTGAGGTTTTACAATCTATCGTGTTGACATTATTTTGTTTCTATGTTGTTCCAATTGAGTTAATTATGCATGTGAGTTCTATGAGTTCTCATTTTGAACGCATAAAAGGCAAGGCACCTTAATCAATGAAAGGTACATTGATAGGAAAGGGTGAGTTGCTTAACTACTTGGAAGACATGGTGGTCAGTTGTGCTACCATAAGGCAAGAAAGCAAGATTAAGAAAGTTCGGTCCATATGAGTTTGAATTTGTCATAAACTTTGGTTTTAACAAATTCACATGGATAGAAACACATACACCGTTTAAATCTAAGTGTTATAAGATTTCCTCCTTCATGAAAATGATTTTCAGGAAATGCTTTCACTAAGAAAGATTTTAAGAAGATAGTGATTGTAAAATAGTCAAATTCGATTATGGTTAGGGTATCCCTTTCAATGATTTGAATTGTGAGGTTTGGCAATTAGTCTTAATTGTTTAGACACACATATGAACTA